CTGCAAATGATGGTCTCCAGGCACATCAAGTGGCCTAAGAGCCTCTTCGCAAACAGAGCGGTGCCGGGCTGCTCAAGTGCCTATTTCTTGACTCGAAGCCCATTTGCTTCCCATTAGCAGTTAATCCCAAGCCTGAAAACTCCAATCACCGAGTGATAATAGAAAGACTGCTCGGCCATGGATTCTCGGGAACACGGGGTCCAAATGGATTGAGTCCTGTGCTTAGCCATGAGTCTTCATGTTTTATGCCACAAGGGCCAGGGGAGCATGTCTGCATCACAGGGACCTAGGGAGCTGGTAGAAACTGGCCAGGTGTTCCTGAGAGGCTGAGATGCTGAGAGAAAGAGGGAGAGACAGAGAGAGCACAGAAGAATGCGGGTTAGAATGCGGGAAGTTCAGTGCATGTCTGTTGGATACGTGGTTGGGGGAAGGACATACTGTGAACTGAATCGCATACTGTGAACTGAATCGCATCCCCCCCCCCCCACCGACCACCAATTCGGTTGAAGCCCCCAGTGTGATGGTTTTTGGAGATAAAGCCTGTGGGAGGTTGTCGGGGTTAAATGAAGTCCTAAGAGAATTGTCATCATGATAAGATGAGTGACAGTTATGTTTGAATCTGAACTGTCCCTCAGAAGCTCATGCTTTGAGTCCCCATGCCTCAGCGCGGGGTGCTATGTGGAGAGGCTGTGGAACCTTTAGGAAATGGCGTCTAGTTGGTGGAAATAGGTTATCAGGCCTTTGAAGTGTGTGTTAGGCACAGTTCTGCAGAGGAACAAGACTGACAGAATAAAAATATATTGCAATGAGGTTTGGATTAGCTAATGTGATAGACAGATTTTGGAGGGCGGGCCACCAGCTCCCAAATAATAACACGGAGACTTATTATTAATTATGAAAGCTCGGCTTTCAGTTTAGGCTTGCCTCAATGAGCTCTTATAACTTAAAGTAACCCATTCGTTTTCATCTACGTTCTGTCACGTGGCCCCTTACCTCATCTTTCCATACGGCCCATGCTGCTTCCTCCACGTCCAGCCGGCAGCCCTGCCTTCTCCTTCCCAGAATTCACTCTCTTTAAAGACTTTATTATT